AAAAAAAAACCCTATGGATTGTATCACTTCCCTTCTCTTCCTTCCCATAAGTTGATGTAGTTTTTAGGGGTTATGTAGTTAATTTTAAAATGTTCATAAGGCCTCCTTTTCAAAGGAGTCTAAAATGTCTTTCATGTCTTTCTTTTTTTTTTTTTTTAATCTAGAACTTTTTTGGTAGAGATATGTAACTTGAGATGGCATTGTTATGGTTTGGAAATTTTATCTGATTCTTCTACTCAAAATAACAGTGCCTTTGGATCGTGAAAACTCCACTGGCTATCTCTGTTTCTTTATACCCTACTAGATTTACATTAATTAACAGGATAAAGTTTGGACTTTATCCTTTTCTTTTTGCTATCCTTCATATGTTCACAAATCAGCAACTCCGTCACTACATTCCTGGTGCATAAAGCCAAATTTTAAAAATAGGAATGAATTTAATTTTTTTTCCACATTTAACCAAATTTCCTTTAAAGGTGGTAGGTAAAATAACCCCAAATCAATCTGTTATGCAGAAATATTATTTATATGGTTTTCACTAGCAAAAGTGGCCTTCCATCCCCCTGTGGTATTATAATGCTTTTCAGAGGAAGAAACCAACCCCCTCAAGTGTGAAGTGTCCTGGCTGTAGCTGCTCAATGAACATGACGGAGATAAAATCAGAACTCAGAGTTTCTACGTTTTGTTTTTTTTCTACTGCTTCTCTTTTATATCCTAAAATTTCAAATTAGAAATAAAAGAAATTATGGATTCTAAAAGCTAGTAAATGTTAATGCCATCGCCAGTGAAAAAAGTAGAATGTGAAATTTAATGTGCTGTATAATTACACCTGTGTTTAAAAACCACCTACGCATGGAAAAATTCAGAAGAAAATATAACAAGATATTTATTAACATAATTTGTTTGGAGAGGGTGAAATCTTTGGATGACTTGGGTTTTTTTCTACTGGTCTCCATTTTCCAGTATTCTTTAATGAGAAAGTGTGTATTACGTAGTAGAGTGGAGGAAGTTTTAAATAGATGTTCAATGAGGAAAAAAAGAGGTGTTGCCCACTAAGGAGGACTGAGGGGAAAGTCTGCACACACACCCCCAGGTGATGGTGCCACGGAGGAGGATGGAAAGGGCCCCTGAGTGTAAGTGCAAATGGGTGAGGAAAAGATGACTCTTCTACAGAGATGTAAAGATTGGGGGCAAGGTGGGGGTAGGAGAGGCTGCTCAGCTTTATAATGTATGTCTTCTCTCTCTAGATCCAATTCAGGTAGTAAATAATTAGGATCAATCACACTTTTTAAAAGAAAACAAGTGATCAAAATGGGGACCAGGAAGACCAGCATATCTGGAGTCTGGACACTCAATAATTTCTGATCCCAACCTAGTTGCAGAAAGAGGCTTCTCTCTCATGAGCTCAGCCTGCATGCAAAGGAAACCACCAGGGTGAGAAGTTTTATCTCACGGGTATACCACTTTGCAAGCCCACCACATGGGGGATTTGGGTCTTGTGAGGTGTGAATAATGAATTCTCACATATAAACCCTGGTGAGAGAGATGAAAAGTTTCACTCATTTGTGTGTTCATGCAATGCAATCATTCACTTACTCATAAGAAGTGTTTACTGAACACTACTATGTCCCAGGCACTATTCCAAATGCATGAAATTCAGTGACCAAAAAAAGAAATCTTCACCCTCAGGGTGCTTACGTTCTAACAAGAGAAGCCAACACTCAAATATCCTTCAAATAACATGGCAGCATTGATGACTGCTATGAAAGAGATGTGTGGTTTTATGATAACCTACAACAGGAAATTTTCCTGTGGTCAAGGGAAGTTTCTCTAAAGTGGCAAAGACTGCGCTGAAATCTAAAAGTAAGTAAGAGCTACTTACAAGAAGTGGGGAGGGTAGAAACTCCCTGCTATCTGGAGGGCAGAGCCTGTGCAAAAGCCTTATGGTGTGAGGACCTGAAAGAATGGAGTTGCTGGACCAGAGAGAGTTGTGCTTCTAAAAATTGATCAGTTGCAGTATGAGTTATAGGGAGTCAAGGCTGAATGCAGGCAAACTCCTCAGAAGGCTGTTACAGTGGTCCAGAAAAAAGGTGATAACAGGTTGAACCAGGATAGTACAATGAAGATGGAGGGGAAAGGAAGATTTAGGAGCTCAAGAGAAAATTCTCTTTTGCCCTCTGAAGGTTTGCTGGAAAATCAACTAACCAAAGGAAGATTAATTGGAGGAAAAGAATGCAAATTTATGTAATGTGTGCTCTAGATAGAGTCTTTAGAATGAGGACCCAAAGATATAAGGGAAATAGTCCATTTTTATCTTAGGTTTAATGACAGGACAAACCTAGGTTTAGGGATAGCTATGTAGGAATATGATTGGACAAAAAGGGTATGATCTAAAGCTGGTAACCTTAGGGGGAAATCCACCAAGGCCTGTCTGCCTAGGTTGTTCTTGGCCTCTCTGAGCATGATTCCTTCCTCTGGATGTGGGGACAGGGCTGTCACAGAAATGGGGGTCCTTGACCTACAGACAAACAAGGTAGGGCAGATAATTTCTTTACAGCTAGTTTTACACAGAAAGGCAGAGGGAAAGTTGGAGTAATATTTTTAAGTTTTATGACTGAGGAAATGGGGTTGGCTTCTATAACCTGGCTTGGGGAAGAAGGATTTAAATTTCTAGGGTTAGCTCAGGGGAGAAAAGA